CATATTATGTGAGGATCATTCATTGTAAACCAAAAATGATATAATATTGTAGCATAGACAACAATGGGAGCCGATTCTGAAAACGTGACCTGTCTCAGAAACTGAATAGTAGTGAAAGTTATCAAAATGGAAAGAAGCATTAATGTGAAATCCAGCCTTCTCTGAAATACTCTTTGCTGGCCTGTTTGGTTTTGCTTTTGTTGCTTGTCATGCATGAATGAAAGTGCCATATTCTCAGGGGAGCAGGAAAGCCTCTGTGTCAGTTGTTTATTTCCTTAATCCCTCCTCCTTTGTGATTTTTGATGTCAGATCTGAAATGGAAAGCCTGTAAATATAATGATTATCACATGGATAATCACCTGCACTAGGAACCACCCTGCTTCTCTATTCTAACCCTAGCTGTTCTCCACATGTCACATCTACTCTGCAGTTGGATTTTAACCTGACTGCTTCATTAGATTTGTGAAACTCAGTACGAGGCGCCCTGGGGCAGCACAGATGGGGACTCGCTTGTTTTCTTTTCTCACATTCACTGTGATAGCACACTAAAGTCCTCTTCAATTTGGAGTGATCAGTTTGCTTGGAATTGCTCCTGATATTTGGAACCTGCCTTCTGCCCATTCTCCCTTCCCTGCTTGCTGACCTGATGCCTTTCGCCTCTGTGCAGTGACTCTGAGAACTAAAATTCTGCTTAAAATTCTTACTGGGTCAAACTGTTCCGTGTTGTTTTATTTGTTTTGCTGAGAGGCAAAAATAAATGTTGCTCCATCATTGTATGTGTGAACTCCTTCAGATCAGAGGTTAGCTACGGAAAAGTCAGTAGTGATGTGAGCCAGCTGCTTCCTCTGATGGAGTGACTTGGGGCACCAGCCCAAGATCAAAGGGAGGTGGGAGGAAGTGGGAAGATAAGATCATTGTAAGGCACAGAAAAGGGCCTAGCATTCTTGTGATAGGACAACAGCTCAGCAGACTTGTGGGAGGGGGGCATAGATAGAAAATTGAGCGGACTTTCTAATTATGTGTTTTCTGCATCAGGTATATATTGATCCTCAGAATTTGTAGATTTGTTTGTAGATTTGGAAGTTTCCTAGGGCCCAGTATTTTTAAAAACTAATAATTTGATATTTATATTTGTGTTTTCTTTCAGTCAGTTGCCCAAAACTGTAATAGATTATAGTTAATTCCTTAATACATTTATGACAAGTGATTATTTAAAACAATGTAATTATTATATGTAAATTTTCCTTCTTTGTGTCTTAGTACAATTTTAGTCCTAAAAATTCTTCATTTTAACTTTCTTTTACATTTCTCTAGGGTTCATTCATAGCTCTGACGAAATCTTTAACATAAACAAGTAGTTTTTCATGTAAGAATTAGCTTGGTTAGTTGTGACAGCTTAAAAACCACTACAAGGATGTCTTTTGAACCACGTCCTTGACATTCCAGTCAGCAAGTATTAGGCTATGTGATGTACTAAGTTCTGTTGTAAGTAAATTCTTAAGGAGCTAATCTTGCCTACACCAATTGTCAAGATTATAACTCAGTTTTATTTTGTCCTGTTTTTTCTTTTTAATCTGGAAAGGATACACTCACCAGCTTAGACTGACTTGCTCAGCCTTATGTTTCACTGGTGAATAGCCCTTGGACTTGTATTTTCAACTTACCATTTTTTTCCTTTTAACCTCATGTTCACTTGAAATCACACAGTTTAACCTTTCCAAAACCCCACAAAATAGTTCTCTAACTATGTGATGCAAGAATACAGGTCTATAAGTACATACGGATATTTTTTTTTCTCAGCATCCTTTGCAACATGTAGGTAGTGACCGAATTTGTGCTGGAGACACTGACTGTACTTTCTGCCTTACATGGTTTGGTGCAGCATTCGTTTTAGTTGAGTTGGATCTGTTCACTACTCAGGCTTAAATCCCATCCTTCTATTAATATCTCTTGGCAAAGATAATTTTGGAGGAATGGAAGTTAAGATGTAGAGGCTCTTGACAGTTGTCTGCAGTCTTTTTCGTTTTCAAGAGGGAAGTGGAATTGAAAAGTAATATTTCCTCCATTTTCTGTCAGTCATAAAATTAAAATATAGGAACAAACCAAAAAAATAAAGAAAGGGAAAGGATTTAATTACACAGATATATAATTTGTCATTTGATAACTTGCTATAAAGGGATTAGAATATAATAAACTAATGCTTATACATTTGTACTCTTAAGGATTGAAAATCTGGACTTTCTTAAAATTTTTAACAGTATGTTTTTTAATGTCCAACTTTTGTTGCCCTGTCATTTTCAAACAAACAAAATACAGATTCTGAGCCCCTGTATGATGTATAGATCTAGATGTAACAATTGTCACCATTTTAACAGTTTGCTTCAATTTAATCTTTATGTTAAGTATTTTTATTATCAATTATTTCATTAGATTCTTTGTGAAATTCAGAACATATAGTTGTGTTGTTTTCACATATATTTATTTATGTGAAAGGCAGATTAGAACTGTTGGGAAAGACAGAGATAGAGATCTTCCATCTGCTGATTCACTCCCCAAATGGCTGCCATGGCCGGAACTGGGCCATTCTGAAGTGATTACCTTATTCTCTGTCTCCCACCCCCGTGCAAGGGCCAAAGTTCTTGGGCCATCTTCCAGTGCTTTCCCAGGCACATTTCCCAGCTCCCAGGGGCTGGATTGGAAGTGGAGCAGCTGGAACTTGGATGCCAGTGCTGCTAACCTTACCCAATATGTCACAGTGCTGACCCCAGAACTTCAGTCTGTGAAGATACATTCCAGACATTGGAACAAAAGCAGATTGCGTGTTTCCCTGGAACAGAAGAATAGTCTTGAGATTTGGTAGCGTTTGGTTATCTACATCTTTTTGCTCAACTTTGAATGGCTGGGTAATCTCGTATTTCTCTTTCTTGCTGGTCTCTCGGCTTCTTCGGCCGTCACTGCTTCAAACAAGCATCCATGAGATGTTTCTGAATTTCCACATTGCTGATATCATTTTCTCATGGAGATGTTGATGACAGATTTCTGGTGTGTTCCATGTAGAGGAACCCAGGAGAAAGAGATCCAGTCACATACAGCAAGCCACACCACTCAGCAGCTTCAGGAAAACCACTTTCTTGCCTCTGTGGAATTCTAGCAGGAGAACGAATCACGATGGTTCTAGAATTGATACTGGCATACACTTCCCTCAAGTGCTGCTGCCAGAGACCTTTGCCATGACCCAAAAGCTGTCGATGCATATCTGCAGTGAGACTATACCTACGTATTTTGTGCAACTTCAATTCCCTGTTGCCACCATCCTTCCCATTACCAGCTGGGTTTGGTGACTGCAGCAAAAACTTTCTCCTTTTCCTTTCTGAATTGGACAGCCAAGTACTTCCTCTTGTACAAACCTTTCCTGAAATACAAAGCAGATCAGCAGCATCTGCCAGTCCCTCTCACGAGCCCAGAGTTTAGGCTGCAATAGAGTTCCTCTTGTCTTTGCTGTGACATTTCTTGCTTTCTTGTCTTCAGATTTGTTCCTAGTGTATTGCTTTGAAGCTACAACCTTTTCATCCACCATGCAAGATAGGAATTTATGAAGTAAAGCAAATTATGTGTTCTGTGACACTTCATCCCTAAGCATTTCAGCATACATCTATGAAAGCTGAAGAAGGGCATTTATGCTCGCGATCACAATACCCAGCTCCTGCACCTAGATTCAGTTCCAAACTCTAGCTTGTCATTCTAGCTTCATGGTTATGCAGACAATAAGAGGCAGTGATGAATATGATGTTTCATGTAATTGGATTTTACTTGTGTAGGGAGACCTGGATTGAGTTCCTGGCTGCCAATTTCAGCCCAGCCCATTCTCATCCATTGCAGGTATTATGGAGTGAACCAGAAGATGAGATCTTGTGCCTAATTTGTGCTTTTTCTCTGCCACATTTTTAAAAACAAATTAAGGGTATTTTCCTTTAAACTGATTATTCCTGTTGTCTAATTCTCATTTTGTATTCAAATTGCTTTGGTTGTCCTAAAAATATCTTTTGTAGCTGGTTTGTTCAAAAGCAGGACCCAGTTACGGTCCATACATCATTGTTGGTCACTTCTCCCTTCCCACTTTGTTACAATACTGACTTGCTTAAGAGGGCATTACCTGCATGCCATACCTTATGAATTTGTCTAGTTAATCAGTGCATTGATTTGTTTCTCCATTCTCTTTATTTCTTGTGAATCCAGATTAGTAAAATAACCTTTTCACTAATTCATGATTAAAAAAAAAAAAACTTAGGATACTGTAAAGGCAATTCTGTTAAATTCATAACATACCCTAACACCAGAATATTTGATGATCCTATGATTAGTGCTGTTAAATGACAGGATCAAAAATTTGGGACAAAGTAATGAAAACTTTATGCTTCTATTAGAAGTTATCTTTCATTAAAAGTTGCTCCTAGTTACCAACATATAATCAATGACACTTTGATTCCACAGAAATGCCTGGGACCCCATCATTGTTTGACCTGATAAATTTAACCTTCATTAATGATCTTTGCCTATATTAAATTTCAATGTGAAGATTACAAAATGGTGATTTTTCTGAATCTCTTTTAGCAAGGGTGCTCCATAGAAGAGCATTCTGAAAGTTGCTGCTTTAATTACAAACACAAGCACTGGAATGTTTCTTAGGCTTCAAATAATTGTCTTTCCTTGCTAAGGTCAGAACACCTGAACTCATGGTGGCAGCTCTTGTAAAAACGTGCACTACAGCGTCTTTATTCCAACTTGTGAAGTGTGTTGACATTGTGCTGCCTTTATTATTATTATTATTATTATTATTCCACCAAGGGAAAAGAGAAATTATTTTTGGTATTAAGAATGAAAATTGAACTATGTGGGTATATTGAGATAATTGTGTAAAAAGAAGACCGAGTTTCAAATGGATTATTTCTTCATTACCTAGCACTTTATAATTAACTGTTTTGTTTTTTTTTTAATTTCAGGAAGCTGCCACTTTTGCTAGAGAGCAAGGCTTTGAGGTGAGTTAACCCACAATTGCACACTAAACAGATCCTAAAGGTTTTTTCTAGCTGATAATGAAGTTCTTTTGGACAGTGATTGATGTGCTATTATACTCTCAGAGCCTCGCAGCAGTTGCCATGGAAACTTGGCAGTCGTCATGGTTTCTTTGTTCTGCCAGCACAGTGTTATGACGCACTCTGCTAGGTCTGCACCCAACATCGCCTACAGATGTTATTTATTGAATTTTGAAAAGCCTCTTGGGAAGCCAAGAGGTTGGGCATGGTTTCAAGCTGCCTCTGCAGATATGGGGCCTGTCAGTTTGTTCAGTTAAAAAGCTACCTCATTAGCTGCATTACATTTCAGAAGGATTCACTGCTAAAGCAGTGGTGGAGCAAGACTAAATAATGAAATGTAATGTCGCTTAAATAATTTCAGCCTTATCACATGTAGATTATCATTATGCAAATTAATTTCCCAAAGGTTGTACTTTAACAGTTGTTAGGAAATGATAAATTTAAATCCTGCTCATATAAATTTCTTGTTTGAATCTCCCCCGCCCTTTTTTCTCATCCCCCTGCCCTCTCTGTCTTGGATAACATAAAATATACATAAATACTCTGAAAGAAAATATTAATAATTGGCTATAATTTTCAGGTCTTGATTCTGTTTTTGTAATAGAAGTATTATCCTGTCAGGAATCAAAACTCCATGTGGTAGTTGTTGGCAGAATTAAGATAACAGTCAAGACCATGTTTTTATCTGTATAATATCCATCTCCCAACTGATTGTTAGAAAACACTGACTTCAGTCTGAACCCGGGTTAATTGACAGAGAATTAACTGGGTTTATGAGTCTTTTATGACTATGATATTTATTGAGCCAGAACTGTGTAAAGTGCTTTGTTCTACACAGCAATATGAAATGTACCATGATGGTAATATTTTAAAATTTGATCTGACTAGGGCTAGAAGATAGAAACAGTCTTCTTATTTGAATACTTTGCCATGGAGAGAACTGTGAGCATTGATTAGATAGAATTAATAAGCTCACTTTGAACTCTTGAGAAAACAGTGTTACATGAATTTCTGCTGGAACTATTATTTAAATATACTAAAGGCAGATTCCATTATTGAGCAACAAAGCAATGTGTTATTGATGTCATAGGACTTGACACACCAGACACAGAGCTTCCTCTTTGTAGGGGAAGACAATGAGCATGTAGTATAAATATTCTCATGCACAATGTAAAATGAATGTACAGTAGAGTCACATGCAGAAAAAGTATTTACAAGCTTTTTACGCTAAGTTTTAAAAATATTGATTACTCATTTGAAAGGCAAAGCAGCATAGAGACATGGAGAAATGGGGAGAGAGAGCTTCCCTTTACTGGGTCAATCTCCACAGATAAAATAACAGCCAGGTCTGGGCCAGGCTGAAGTCAGGAGTCAGGAACCTTCATGGCACGAACCCAAGCACTGGGGGGCCATCCACAGCTGCCTGCCAGGCACGTTAGCAGGAAGCCGAGTCAGAAGCCTAGAATTAGCAATCTTGATCCAGACACCTCCTTACAAGACAGGGCTTAGTCTTACACCAAAATACCTGTCCCTTTTTCTCAAATTTAAATTGTACTTTTTATTTTCCCAGACTGCTAATCAATACAAAATGTCATCAAAGGATCTTCAATTTAAAGGTCAAGCATATTGGTCCCGAGAATATGAATAAATGTCTCAGTCATTAAAGTTTAACTGATATTCCGAAGCTTGGGCTTTTCTTTTTTCATTTATTTTTGGCTTTTCTTCTTATTCTTTGAAAGGCAGAAAGACTGAAAGAGACAAAGATAGAATCATCTTCTGCTTCATTTCCCAAATATCTATAACAGTTAGGTCAAAGCCAGGAGTCAGGAACTCAGTCCAGATCTCCCATAGGAGCAAGAACTCAACTAAAACCATCATTGGCTGCCTCACTTAGTGTGCATTAGCAGGAAACTCGAACCAGGCGCAAATCCAAGACTCGAACCCAGACATTCTCAAACCTCAAGTTGAGCAGGGTGTTGAATGCCTGCCGCGATGTTAAGTTTTAATGTTAAAAATTGCATGTTGATAAATCAAAATTCTCTACAGATGAAAGCTTATCTAATATAGATGTGTATGCTGTCAGTTTATTATGTTACCATTAAAACATATTAAAATATCCAAGTTTTCAGATTCTTAAAAATAATTTGTTGCGTAACATTATCATGACATACATAACTATGTAGGTAGGACATACATAATTATTTTCTTTTAATTATTAGATCTAATTCATCCTTTTGCTCCCTTGTACTATTTGCTCTGAATATGCCTGGTTTACCTTTAGTTTTAGCAACAAACTGTGTTTTCTGTATTCTGTATTCTGCTGACCAATGCTGTCCTAACCTTTGCATTAGTTTTTATTTAATGATTCCAGATGTTTCCTTTTGCTATAAATCTGCCATAATTTATTACAGCCTGTATAAAAAGTGATGTTGATTATAATTGCATACCTTATTACCTCCTGACACAGCAAAACTGCTCCATCAGTGATATTGACAGAGATATGTTAGATTAGATGAAGCTAATGCTGTCTTAACATGTTCCTTCACGGGTTCCCAAAGATATTAAAAACCATGAGTATTTAAATAAAATACGATCCACATATAGAACACTACCTAGAGAAATTCAGTGATTCTGTAATGTAATTAAATCTTTCCTCAGTTCATTAGATAGATATGCAAAAGCCTAAGTCTGGAATTTGATATTCCTAAGAATTAAACAAATAGATCACTTTACCTGAACATTTTTCTGTTGGTGGAAATGTATGAATGTCCTCAAGTCTAGTACAACAAACTAAACAAAAATTTGCACTTTATCCTTCTCAACTTTAATATTGCCTCTACATTTAGAGCCTGAGTGAGAAGACAGAAATAAGATTATTAAAAGAATGAAAAGGTGAGCAGTTTGCTACCCTCATTTTGTATTGTAAATCTCAGTAAGTTCCCAAAGTCACTGAGTGCTGTCCTTAGTGATCTGTCTGCTGGCAGACCAATCCAGACATGTGTAAAAATAACCAGTGTGTATTCATCAGAAGATATCCTCAGTGGCATTGTTTATTATATTCTGGCTAGCTTCTCTGCAAATTTTGGATAATCTTTAGATTTTTTTTTTTTAATCTTAAATCTTTAAAATGAATTGGGCAATTTTCAGCAAGAAGCAGCAGCTTAGGAGGGCACTGAAGAATGAGATAAAAACTGCAGCCAGGCAGGGCACAGCGTAGAAGAGAGAGGAGATATATATATGCATATATATATATATATATATATAGGAAAATTGCATAGTGCCTGATTTAAATGACAGCCCTGCTAAGAATTTAAAATGACAATTCTTGGGGTAAAAAGTTTCATAAGGCCTTTTATTATTCTGGCAAAACTGTTCAGACTGCAGTGTGTTTTTAAATCTACCTTATCCTGAGCTGAACTGATTAAAGGTTATTTTTAGAACCTAAATAAAAATAAGGTGCTTCATGTCTCACTGCGAAGCCTTTTCAAAACTATTGAAAACTGACTTTAAAAAAAAAGTTTTAAAAAAAGCCTCCAAAACCCAAGTAAAAATCTGTGTGTTAATTATTGTCTCTGCAACAGAGAGTATGTGCCAAATATAGATAATTCATACCTTCTTTATTGGATCAATCATTCAATTTTACTACAAGCAGCAAATTTTTATTTAATTATTTAATTATCCTCCCCCTAGAGAAACAAAATCATCTTTTCCCTTTTTCCTACTTGCCACACAGCCTTTGAGAGATTCCCAGACATGGGATCTGTTTCTGACTGGTGAGCACTCTGTCATCTTATTCCACTGAGAGAGAAATATATGAAACTGTGCTACACAAAACACCCATCACTAACTGTATATAGCTATTTAAATTAAGATTAAATAAGATTTAAAATCTAGTTCATTCGTTGTATTAGGGACATTTCAAGCGTACTGTAGACTGTCTAGTGAATGTACACTTTGTTGGGCTGTTTGGATGACAGGCATACACATCGTCACAGAAAATTCCATTGATAAGCCCTAGATAGCAAATCTGCAGGGAGTAATCAAGAGATGTTGATTCCCGGCAAATTCCACAAGATGACTCTAAGACTCTTGTTTTCATTTAAATGTAAAGAATTGAAGGGACAATCACAAAGCATTTTTGAAAATCAGACACCAAGTCAGATTCTCCTGGCAAAGAGAATGTATTGCTGCTTTTCTAAGTAACTGATCCCAATAAAGGAAAACTTTACAGCAGTTAGATGCTGGCAGAGAGATAAGATAATCTTCTGATTCTGTTTACTTAATTGTTTACTCATTCAGCAAATATTTACTGAGCTTTTACAGAGTGCCTGGCACTCTGGCAGCCTGAGGACAAGGTGGCAATGACCAGAGGGTGTATTGTGAAATGAAGAGTGTGGGAAGGCTCCCTGTTTCACTTATGATGACCATGGAATGTCTCTGAAAAAGTAAAGCTTGAAAATACAAATATCTAATGGTGACCAAAAAATCCAATCAGGGGAACAAATCTTCAAGAGAACAAGAACATAAAGGCCCGAAAATAAGAAAGAGCATAATGTGCTGTGAACTCCAGCAACTGGCAGCAGGCCAAGGTGACCGCATTGGAGTGAAAGAGCAAGAGGGAACGTGAGATCAGGCTGGCAACGGACACGTCATGCAAGCGCCGAGCGCCATAATTGAGAGCAGTTTGCATTGGGAAAACAAAACAGAAAATGCTATGGTGTGGGAATTCAGCAATTGAAATTCTGCAAGAATAGGTAGATTCTGACAGATTTGGAGCTTCTTTTTTTCTGGTGTTTGTGTCACAAGCATGTTGAAAACGGAGTGAAGAGAATGTATTCTTTAATTTAAAAGACACTACTGTTTTTTAGGTGTGTGATCATCCCTGACAAAACAGAATTTCCTTATTTTAAATTTTGAGACAGTATGACTGTTGTGAAGTGCTTCACAATTTATTACACCTTTCCTAATACGTCATTAATGCATGGAATACTCAAACAAACCTTAGGAGGTCAGTAGGGCTTCTATTTACCATATCAGGTCAGCAGATAAAGAAAAAGCTATATGACTTATTCAGATCTCCTGTCTGAAACATACTGGGGCCCGTACGAGAGATTAGCTAAATCTTGTTCTCTCTACTATAAGCTGCACTGCTTTCTCTCTCACATCTATCTAATTGGAAAGGAGATTTGATTTCAAAATGACCTTGAAAAATGAGAAATACCTTGAAACTCAAATATAGAAATTTGTTGGGGGAAATACAATAGTTAGGAATAAATAACAAATTTAAATAGAAGATCAGGAATGACTTGTAAATGTGGTGTATAAATGAGTTAAACATGTTACAGTTTTGAGATAATAAAAAAAAAAAAACCACTGGTGTAATTCAAGAAGCGGTACCTCTGTGAATAGCATGGAATAGCGCATAACCGTACTATTGGAATCAGATATGGTGGATACTAGCTTAACCAACTACTTGTTATTTGTAACTGACACAGATGACTTCTCCATTATTCAGTTTCTTGATCTAGAAAGTAAGATACATATTTCTATAACTACTGACTACTGAAGAGCTATGTATCTCAATCATAGCTCAATTGTATCAACTTTCTTCTAAGTCTGCCCTCTTTTCATCTTTCCTCCCTTCTCAGATATTATAATTGAATTCTTAGTACTCAGAATTCCTTTCTGTAATTTAGGGTGCCATGTACAGTTCTCTTGTCTCCTTTATTCAGTCTGTGACAGGTTCTCATTCTTTCCTTGTTGTTCACAACCTATGACTCACTTGAGTCCTGACCAGTCATTTTGTAAAATGTTCCTCAGTTTGAGTTTGTCTGCTGTTGTCTCATGATAAAATTGAGATTATGCTTTTTGACCGGAAAGCTACAGAAGTGGGATGTCCTTATCAGGGAGGTACATGGTGTCCTACTGTCTCACTGTTGGTAGAGTTAACCTTAACCACTGCGTGGAAGTGGTGTTTTCCAGTGTCCTCTGAAAAGATGCTGATTTTCCTTTATAATTACCAAGTACATATCCCATTAAGTACACTAGTTTTGTGTATCACTAAATTGATCACTGGGCTAGGATAGTATTGGTAAGCTTTCTCCACTCGAACATTGCTGTTTTTCCTTATTTGCCAAGTATCTTGGGGTGGGGGAGATTATTTTGAAAACTCTTTAAGGATCTTGTTTTTCTTCAGCTTCTTTTCTTCATTGCTCCCCATGTATTTTATTTGGAATATTTTTCAGTTTTGTCTATAAGGAAATTCAACTTCAATAAGCTTTGTTAACATGCTGAAGGTCACACAGATACTAAGTTTAGGTTTATCATATTCTTCAGTTTCTTGTGATTTCATTGTTCTGTTATAATGTGTGAGTTAAAGTGTAAAGGAGAAGAACCTAAAGAGAAGGAAAAATATTGTAGAACTACAAATATGTATCTTTGGGAAAATAAATTTGAGGTTTTGAGCAAACTTTTTATACTGGATGAGAATCAACTATTGTGTGCAAGCAAAGCTTCCTCAAGGCATTGTGAGAAATTTATATTAGGTACTTACTGACAGTGATGCCAGAGCAACTGACAAAGGGATTTTGTATCAAATGTGGATATGGATACAAATAGAATGAAGTTTACGTACATTTGGCTAGATTTATGTTTTTTTATTTGGAAAGCTTATTTCGGTCTTGAATTGCCATTTTGATAATATTTGAGACGATAATTTCTTTCATGAAATTACCAGGCTACCATTAGGGTTAGTAGAAAGCCACCATGGTTTTTATTATTAACTTATTCTGTATACCACCTTGAAGAAAGACTTCATTTAAAAAATCTGGCATATGCATAATACTCTGTTCCCAAGAAATAGTGATTCTGCCATTCACCTTTAATAAATTAATTATGCTTAATTGTGAACTAAAAATCTGATAGTAACACCATTTATACTAAGGAAGTTGGCATATTATCCATAGGCCATTTTCATTAAATGTTGTAACTTGCTTTAAGGAGTGTCGACAGTGTTATTTTATGGCATTTTATGATCCTTTCAACTGTTACTAGTCATTCTGAGAGTGTCTCTAAAAACTTAGAAAAATGTCTTCTCTGATCTGATTTCAGGCTTAGTTGTGTTCTAAAATAAGCAACTGAAAGCAGAGTAGTCAGCATGTTTGAAAGGTCAGCATCATTGTCCTACAAGTGCCTGTTCTTTTCAGAAATAAAAGTTATGTGAAAATCATATTAAGGTATCAGAAGCTGAGCTTTATTTATTATCTGGAATTTCTCTAGTATTTAGTAAACTAACAATATAAAAATATTTCTCTGCACGTTCTTACACTTTAAAAAGTGTCTTCGTTGCTAACTTTTTTTAAAGATACATTCATTTTTTTATTGGAAAGACAGATTTATAGAGGGAAGGATAGACAGAAAGATCTTCCATCTACAGGTTCACTCCCCAAGTGACCACAGTGTTTGAACCTGAACTGATCCGAAGCAAGGAGCCAAGGGCTTTTTTCCAATCTTCTACATGTGTGCAGAGTCCCAAGGCTTTGGGCCATCCTCTACTGCTTTCCCAGACCACAAGAAGGGAACTGGAAGGGAAGGGGGGCAGCCAGGGCATGAACTGGTGCCTACATGGGGTTCTGGTACATGCAAGATGAGGACTTTCCAGGCCCAGTTGCTAACATTTTTAACCATTATAAAACATGATTTATCTGCTTTAGTTTCATTTTTCTGTCCTAGTTATCTGATTTTCTCCAACATGTACTCTTTTATTTTTGTCATATATATAGTCATATGTATATATGTACCCTCTGATACATATTTGTTTCTCCATAACCATTTGGAACTTTGCATGGTAACAGAGCAAACTAGCATCAGAACTCAAACTAGGGATAGTTTTAGAGGTCTGCTGAATACAGAGATGGGTTTTCACACGATCAAAAATAGTTAAGAACACATTCTAAAAATTGTGCCTTTAGCTCAATAGTGAGATTTCAAGTTAGAATATTCATGATGTAAAATTTCATGGCCTGTGTAGTGTGAAAAACAACATCAGGGTTTTAGGGCTTAATCTGTAATTCTTAAAAACTTTTATCATTTTTTAAGCAAAGTTATGTCTTTCTGGGAAAGAGCACTTCCTTTAATTTTTTTCTTTCCTGCTAATACATAATAATATAAGGTGTTAGGTTTTCCTTGTTTCATTCACTCCTTTGAAAAATTTGACATTATACCCAAAATATTTCTGAAGTTATACAGTTGTTCTGTACATCTCTAAAGCAATTTATTGTTTTTAAGAATATCTCTTTAGTTGCAAATTTGAAAACTCATTTCATATTAGCTTGTTTGAATGAGTTATTATTAGTTTTTTTTTTAAGTATGACATAAGCTGTATTTCCTTTCAAAAAATATTGTAGAACATTTATAGATGAAGTATAGTATCAGTGCCAGCACTATGGCATAGTGGCTAAAGTCACACAAGTATACCATATGGGTACCTGTTTGTGTCCTGCTGTGCTACTTTCAGTCCAGCTGTCTGCCGATGGCTTGGGAAAAGCACCAGAAGATGGGTCAAGTGCTTGGGCCCTGCCACTCTTGTGGGAGACCTATGAGAAGCTCCTGGCTCCTGGCTCCTGTCATTGCCTTGGCCTATCTCTGGCTATTGTGGCTGTCTGTGGAGTGGACCAGTAGTTGGAAAATCTCTCTCTTTTTCTCTATCTCTCTCTCTCTCATCCTCATCCTCCCTCCTGCTCCTCTCTCCTCCCTCCCTTTTCTCTTTCTCTCCCTCTCTTAAACTCTGGCTTTCAAATGAAAAAATAAGTCTTGTTAAAGTTTTTTTTAAGATTTATTTATTTATATTGGAAAGGCAGATTTACAGAGAGGAGAGCGAGGGAAAGCTTTTCTATCCAGTGGTTCACTCCCTGAATAGCCGCAACAGCCAGAGCTGAGCCAGTCCGAATCCAGGAACCAGGAGCTTCTTCTGGGTCTCTCACATGGGTACAGGGTCCCAAGGATTTGGACCATCCTCTGCTGCTTTCCCAGGCCATAAGCAGGGAGCTGGATGGGAGGTGAAGCAGCCAGGGTACAAACCAACACCTATATGGAATCTCAATGCTTGCAAAGGTAGATTAGCTAGTTGAGCCATTGCATTATTTCCCCAATAAGTCTTTTGAAAAAAAAAATTTATAGCCCCTTGGATTTGCATCATAACTATATTGAAAGTCTGGTAGATGACAGACAGCACAGAGCAAATAAGATGCATCAGAAATATAAAAATTTTTCATAGTGACAACAGGTTTCTTAGAAGTCATGCGATTCTGTGGATTTTTGTATATGAATGATTTTTTAGTTATCTGTTAATAGAAATTCAGATGTCTTGTTTGATGATCACCAGCACAATTGCTTGCCTGCTAATAAAATTTTTGTTTACTGGTGATTACTAAGAGTTCTTTCCTCTTTTCTATTTATAGACAAAAGACATTAAAGAGATAGCCAAAAAGACACAAGCCCTGCCAAAAGTGAACTCCAAGAGACACCGAATTGTGATCTTCACCCAAGGGAGAGAGGATACCATCATGGCTACAGGTAGGCGTGGGAACTGTGTGAGAAATGCAGTGTGTTGGGGATTAATATTTATTACAAAATCCTATATTCTTCCTATTACCGTGTAGCCACGTACCTTTCATAGTTTCTTAGTATTCGTATGCTCTGTTTCAGTACAAAAACAGTTTATCTTCAGAAAGATGATTTGTTAAAATTCAGCTGAATAAACCGCTTTGGTATAGTTTATTTGTTTTGAAATTTTTAGAGACTGTGTTAGTCTATAAATGTCTTTTCTAAACAAGAAGGAATATAATTAACTTGTGAAATACTGCACCAGAATAAATTTATTCAGTTATGAACAAATAAAATCCAAAAATAAGTTCCTTTTTCAGTTTTTCCTTCAAGAAGAAAATCTCAGTTCTGTGATTACTCAGTCATCTATTTTATAGCACTTATAGAAATCAAATAGGAATTTCATCAGTAAGCAAGTCTGTTATTGATCGGAGTCATTATTATCATCAATATTATAGTGCCTGTTATTAAAGTAAAAATATAAGCATTTCATTGGTTTTAAACTGTTTGAATCATGCAGTTTAAAACCAATTGATTAAACAATGATTTCTGTTAATTGTAGCAATTATTACCTTTGAGTTTTTTCAATACTCTCCTGAAGACTGAAATATAAGGTACAAAGATCTGATTGGAAATGAAATTAACACCCGTAAAATATAAGCACAAAATAAAGGATATTCACAGTTACTCTTTTAGAATTTTTAAATATTGCTTACATGATTGAGAGGATTGCATGCTCATGTGGACCTCTGAGGGCCTCCAGTTGGTGTGGGAAGGGTCAGGTATGGAGGAAGGTGGGTGGGACAAATGTTTCAGTTCCTTTTTTTTTTCTCCTGTGTCCTCAGGGGGATAGGGAAGGAGGCTGCTCCTTGCCCTCTGGGGGTCGGGATGGTCATTTGTTGACACCTCAAAGGCCTCAATGTGAGAAAGAATGTTCTGAGGGTGTTACTTGTGTGGTTGGGATGTTATTGACTTTGTTGTACCAAGGTTGAGAAAAATCTTTCAGAGATCTTTTAGCTACCAAGCTGATCTTCGTACATCCACAGACTCAGACGCTTGCTGCAATACTTGGCCAGGAGAGTTATCCAGCCTTTTCTACTTTCCATCCTATGAAGGGCATTCCACATCCTCTATTGACCTAAATGAGCTGGCTGCCATGTCCTCTGTGTACATCTGGGCATGCTGTACACTCCACAGGCATCAGCAACTGAGAAGACCCAGTCCCAATACATACATTCCGTGGTCGGACCACATATATTATGATTTTCTTGTGGCTGGCGTTTGATTCCAGCAGTCTAGTTGGGGAGTCCTTCAAGAAACCTTGCCTGGGATGACCTCAGACTTGATTGTTGTATGTGCCAACCAGTGTAGGAACAGGTTTGGTTCATCAGGCATCACATTTATCAGTGGATGCAACTGCCTAGTCAGTTTCACCCCAGCCCCATCTCTCACTGAACTGGCAGGTGCTGAGACCTCGCCCAGCCCAGTCTGCCACATGCCTGATCCTCACATACAAAAATGGGTATGACAGACCATACAAGATGACCTTCAAAAACTCCCAACAGGCCCCTCCCCAGCCCTGGTGTTTGTGCATGTTGGCTTGTGCTGTTGCCTAGTCTGACCTGTCCCATAACCCATTCAACTCTCATGCACAACCATGGGTACAGTCTGCCCTACCCTCAGTCCCAGATCTCAATGGGAGCTGCAACCTAGTAGGCAAGTGCCCACAATTCCCCTACCAGACTCATCCCCATCCCTTGATCCCACGTGTGCTGCTGGGTGCTATGGCCTTGCTTAGCATGGTCTATCCTTGGTCCTGTCCTTTGCATGTGCCAGCAGCTGCTGCGGCCTGGTTCAGCCTGTCACCAGGCCCAGCTTTCCTACAAATCAGTAGATGCTGCAATCCCACAGAGACAAGCCCACAAATCCCCTATAGAATCTGTCCCCCGGATCACTAATTCTGGTGGGTGACCCACCCCATGCCCCTGCAATTGTGATTGAGTACTGCCAGGCATACCCCCATAACACCAGCTTTTGCATACACTGGCAGGCAGTGTGCAATGCTATTCAGCCCAGTGAAGGTTCCCACATGGATGGATGCCTTGGCCTGACCCAGATATACTCAACAGTTTCCCCCCTCTAAGTCACCCTGTCTCAGTTCCCTCGCCAATCTGAGTGCAATGGTCTTGTCCACGGACGTCCACAGAAGTTACTCCTTACCTCTCAAACGTGCCCTCAGTGTCCCCCCCCCCCCACTTCAGCATGTCCACAGACCCCATCCCTAGACAATCTACAGCCCACCCCTCCACCACCCCTGCCACCACCCTGTGATGCAGCATGCCTGGAGCCCAAGGTGGCATGTCCCAGCCCAAAGGGACCTAGTGTCCCTCACATTCCCTACATGTTAAATATATGTGGGGAATGGAATGGAATGGAATGGAGTGGAGTGGAGTGGAGTGGAGCGGAGCGGAGCGGAACGGAATGGAACGGAATAGAATAGAACAGAACAGAATAGAATAGAATAGAATAGAATAGAATAGAATAGAATAGAATAGAATAGAATAGAATAGAATAGAAAGCTGTGCTAGCACACTGATATAGTTAACACAGATTTGGCATTAACTAGGCCCAGAATACCCACAAGCTATTGGCTGCTTTTTTCCCAGAGGTCCAACACTTGCCTAGGTACAAAGCAACCCAGGTAGTTGCTTATAACTGGGGTAGTTACTCTTTATTGGCACAAACCCTATGGGTTGTACTGGCTCAGAGACTGTCAATGAATCTTGAAAAAAGATATTATAAGCAATATAAACTCAATTTGGATTAAATTAAATACATAAAGTTTAGAAAGAGTCCAAGATGAAATCATGTATCAAATATTAGGAGGAAGTAATCCCCAAAATCATCGATTCTATCTTTTTATTTTAGGATTGTCTGAAGGAACATATAGAGATTTTTTTCTTCACACTAATTCAGTGAACAATAGACAGTGAAGGGAAGTATTGATAAGTGAGACTTGTCGTGAGTTGTTGATTGTTCAAATTGGCCAAAGGATATATTTGGGATCATTTTCCTGATTTCTCCACTTGTGTATATGTTTGAAATTTGTTGTAATGAAAACTTTCAGAAAAGTTTAAAAAGAATTATAAAGATGATTTGAGGATACTAAATGGCTTTCCCAGAATTTGTGAATATTTTGTAAAACCTTGATTTCTAGGAAAGCTTTGAAGAACAATCTGGTCACAGAGGATTATCAAAGCAAAGTGACCTGGTACTGTGTTATCTTTTATTGCTGCAGCAGGAAAAGCCATCCTGTCAATTTGTAGAAAAGGGAAAAGAAATAAACCATGAAAAGAATATGTCTGCACTGGGATATGCTGTGCTACACCGACCTATTCCTGTCTTAGCATTGAATCATTTAGAAATGTGAAAGCTGCTCGGGCTTCTTATAGGAACTGTAGTACTACCTTCACACTCATGTCGTGCTGTTTTGGTTGCTCATACATTTTAACCAGTATCTTCCTCATTGTGAGTTTCCATAATTTTCCCAAAATTGAAAGCCTTCCTACCTTTTGACTGAATCTCCTTGTGGACTCATTTTATTCTTTATTAAGTCCATTAAATCATGCCTAGGAATGCTTACAAGTAGGAATTTATTTGAGGAAAGACACTGGTTAATCTTTGCTGTTCCTACCATATGAAAATGAACTTAAATTAGAGGATGCATGATATCTGCAATGCATGATAAATACAAGATGGATAGAGAATCTGTTCAGTGGTGTCAGCTACAAAGGCAAACATGATAAATGTTAATGCAGTTTTGAGCCCTGGGATAAGCTATTCAGTGCACAAGCATAGCTGAATCTCTTTGCTGTGTTGTTATTCATGGCAGCCAAATAAATGTCAATAATAAAAGAGAATTAAAGATTTTCATTTCCCAGAGGCAGTCCTCTAATACAGCTTGATCTTTCATTTCATTTGTAATTCGTTCTCATGTCAGGATGCAATCATTCGCCAGGCTCTGGGTGTCATGTTAAGTCATTTAATAATGATTAAGAACATAAAAATGCTTGGCCTGTGGGGCAATTCACAGAAGAGATGCCAATTTGTTATTGTTTTCCCTCCTTTCCTCTTGAATATGGATCAGCTTTTTCCCACCTACTAGCATTAAAATACTAATGGAAGATAGGGAGGAAAGTGTCCCTTAATTTACCATAAGTGACATTCCAGAATGGCACAAAGCAGTGCTAACACACTTTTTGAAACACTAATTAGGAAGCATTGTGCCTTAAACCTCACACTGTAGAGCATTTTTAAATGATCACACTGTGAAGTTGGTAACATTTAACAACAAAGTAACAAAATCAGTTTCCTTGGTGTTTTATTCTAGGGACCAATCTCCTTTTGTGGTATCTATAAACCACTTCCTCTTGTTTATAAATTTAATGCTTTAAATTCTTCTTATTTCCATAGTTTGCAGATCTGAAGTCTTTTCTACTCAGCCTATTGTGTTAGTTTATCCCACTTTGAGATTGGCTTTCCTAGAAGTTCTGTTACGTATCAGTCACTTTTCCAGTGCTTGCAAGCTGATTGAGTTATAAAATCCTTCTGGAGGGAGGGCTGGGCCCTAGAGAATATTAAGAGTAATGTGGATCCAGGGCCCAGCACACTAGCCTAGTGGTTAAAGTCCTTGCCTTGCATGCTCCAGAATCCCATATGAGTGCCAGTTCGTGGCCTAGCTGTTCCACTTCCTATGCAGCTTCCTGCTTGTGGCCTGGGAAAGCAGTAGAGGTTGATCCAAAGCCTTGGGACCTTGCATCCACATGGAGGACCTGGAAGAAGCTCCTGCCTTTGGATCAGCTCATCTCTGGCCATTGCAGCCATTTTGGGAATCAACCAGCAGATGGAAGATCTTTGTCTTTGCTTCTCTCTATAAATCTGCCTTTCCAATAAAGATAAATACATCTTTT